GGATGTGGGCCCTGAATTCATGCTGAAGGAGAAGGACGTGGACTATGGCCATTGGAACCGAGAAAAGTGGGGTAAGGACATGATGGTATACCCCAGGGCTGTGGAATCCAATATTGCCAAGGAGGTGGCATCATCCACGGGCCAGAGGGATGCTGTGGGACAGCAGGTGTAGATGAGCCGGTGCTGGGGCCAGGATGTCGAGAGCGTCCATTGCGAGGGGCAGAACGTCCACGTCCAGATCCCTGGGAATGAGGTGGACACTGAACAACTGGCGTGGGATGGGCAGCAGGACCGGTGTGGATAAGAGCAGCAACAGTCGTGTGGGTCCCAACTTGATATGATTTTCGGGTTTCCTCTAATAATATCATGGAACGAGCATTAAAAAATATAGGGAGAGGCTTGGTTTGCTGAATGATAGAGGCCACAGTATCATAGGATTCGGATAATCCATTGACAAGGCGAAGGACCAAGCAATCATTGGAAACATCAGATCTGATGTTGGCCAATTTGGTGGCTAGGGTTTTGAGGGTTTTATTGTAGGAAAGAACATTAGGAAAATCCTCAAGACGGGTATTCGAGAACTGGCTCTCAAGATGGACGACACGTGAGTGCTTGTTGTCCTGAAAAATGTCGGTGATGCGATCCCACGCCTCCTGCGCGGTGGAGTCAGGTTCGATGATAGTATGAAGCAAATCATGCGAGATGGTGCCATAGATCCATTGTAGGACAATGGCATCGAGGCATTTCCATAAGGCCTGAGACTCGGCCTTGGCCGTGGCAGCAACTAAAATTTGTTCTGGAGTGGGATTGTCGGGCATGGTGGTGGAGGAGTCATCATCATCGTCAGAAGACGGAATGATGTGATCAAGGACTTTGTATGCCCGAGAGGTAATTTTAAAAAGTTCTGCTCATGATGAATACTCAACATTTTCCATGTCGAGCGTGATGGGTATGAAATTCTTGATGTTGGAAACAGTCAAGGCAGGGTGAAAGGGGGTTGATTTCGGAGAAGCCATGATAGGAGGAGAGGAAAAAAAATCTGATACCAAGTTAGAATTGAATAATTCTCCGTAGAGATTTCATTGTATTCGAATGCTTTAAATAGCACATTTACAAAGTACAAGATAAGCTCTATCTATACTAACGTACAAAGATATATGGTTACAGTAGAATAGCAAAAAAAGGGATAAGCTCACACTTGGATAAAGCCAAATAATAATTAATAGTAAAATATTAATTTGGTTACAAAGTCACATGCGTGACTTTAGCTGAGTCCGACGTACGGTGCATGGCCATGCAACGTGAATGAGATGTATTGCTAAGAGTCGTAGAAAAGGCAATCACTTTTCTTTTAATTCAGAAAAAAATTATTAATTAATATAAATACAAAGAGTTCTCAGTTTTCTTATTCTGAGCTTTGTTTGAGTATATGGTAAAAACTCATTCCATAAACAAAATCACCTACCAAACATACCCGGAAATAGAACAAACTTTTGAGCGGTTGAAAAATAAGTTTTCAAGTATCGACTCAAAGGAATTATCTGCCAGAGAACCATCAAACACTAGCTCTCACTCTAGCGAATCTGAAGAACCCATCCACATGGCTCTAGAAACAAGAACCTTGATGGAGCTTACGGCTCCGAATCTAAATCAACAACCTCTATGTATCACATTCCCTACTATTGATGAGGGTGCTACATTAGAGTTGAAATCTGGGCTCATACATCTACTCCCCTCTTTCCATGATCAACAAGGTGAGGATCCAAATAAACATCTATCGAAGTTTCATATCGTTTGTACGAGTATGTGCCCGAATGGTGTCACTGAGGAGCAAATCAAATTGAGGGCTTTTCCATTTTCCCTCAATGACACCGCAAAAGATTGATTATTCTATCTTCCCTCGGGAACAATAGATACTTCGGCGGTCATGAAAAAATGCTTCCTCGAAAGGTATTATCTCGTCTCTATCTCCTCAAGCCTAAAGAAACAGATAAGCATCATTGAGCAAAAGGATGATGAATCCTTGTATGAATTCTGGGAACGATTTAAAAATATATGTGCTAGTTGCCCCTATCACGGATACACAGAGCAAGACCTCATCTTATACTTCTATGATGGTCTTGTTTATGATAATAGGCGCATGGTGAATGCGGCATGTGGAGGCGGCATTGTGAACTAAACACTTTCACAAGCAAGGAGTCTAATCTCAGAGTTGGCCGAGAATTCGAGACAATACAACCACAAGTCTTCATCTCGAAGAGTTCTTGCTGCAGAAACAAGCACAACCGCTCTAGAAAGTCAAGTTGCCGACTTGACTTCTTTGTTAAAGGAGCTCCTTCTCAAACCCAAAACTCGGGATTTATTCGATTGCCCTCCCGATTGAATTTTTAGCTGAAATTTGGTATGGATAAACTAGACTTGATGAGGAACATGCTCAAAAGATTTCATCAAAAAATTCCACCGGGAAGGGCTTCTAATGGCCTCGGTCGGACGGCGAATCCTGTCAGACCGACCTGACGGGATCGCTACTATATATAGGAGAGGGTTCCACTGAGAACCCCTCATAGAATGAGAACTTTTTTTAAAATGAGGACCACTTTTTGCTCGAACCCTCTCGTGTGTGTGTGTGTGTGTATAGCGGTTCCAATGAAGATATAATCATCCTTAACGTGAGAACCATGCTTAACATAATTTGGCGTACAATGAGACTTATCTATTATACTTTTAAACTTTGGTCGAAACATGCCAACATCAAATAAATGTGGTGGTGGATTCGTATATTTCATCAACATGAAAATGTGCAAGGTATACACGATACAGTGCATCACCTTTACTTAAAAGTGAAGTTCTCATGTTCTCTTGTTAAGCATAATTTTTATTTGATCCTGAATACATATATATATTTATGTATGCATTAATGTAACTATGTATTGTACCGGAAGAACATACGGTGTAATAAATTACAGCCACGTTCATCCCTTATAATTAAATGTATTGACATGAGTTTCTCCCAATTGCACATGCACTAAGCAATTAAGCATGACATGACTCGTCTCATATTTAGATCACCCCCTCGAATAATATAAAAGCGTGTGTACCAGAATATGATGAGTAACTACACGCCACCTGACCCATCCAAATTTAATTGGAAATATGTCTTAATTTTTAATGTAAAATATTTTGAATATTTTTTTTTAAAATACGGAGTATTATTTATAGTAGCCCAGGATCCGGTGTCCTGACTTTTTTTGAAAAGAAACCGACGATTATTTTAGAATTCTAGAAACAATGACATTACAAACTCTTCAATTCTCAACAACCTCCTTCTACCAAACCCACCATAACCCGAAGGTCCTCTCACTCTGATTAGACATAGAAACGACTACCCTAATTAGAGCAGATCGAGTCGCTAACCATATGAGAGATTTGATGACTTTTAAATTCATCTTACTTCTTAGCATAAAATGCCTACTCACCACATAAGTATAATTCTAAATCATTTTTACTTTATCAATTCAATATCAATCACATAAACTCATTTTTTCATAATAATCGTGTCATCTTTTATGTCCCAATGTTAGTGGGACGGAGGTAGACTTGTCCGCGGTTTGAACCAAAACTGAACTGGCGGTTCGCGACACCAAATTTCGGGGAACCGGAACCGCACAGTACCGGTTCCAAAACCGGCGGTTCCAGTTTCAATCCGGATCAGTTCCACTTCAATTTTCCAGTTCCATTTTTTATATTTAAAATTTAATTTAACTTTTATAATAGAGAATTTAATAAGATAATTTGAAAGAAAGAGTTCCCAAAAGATATTAATATAATTAATAATTATTATTTCTGTAACTAACTAAACTTGATAGTTAAAAATAAAATAGCTTTTTGAATAAAGTAAGTAAGTAGTTAGAAATTTACTTGTGCAAATTTAGAAGTAAGTAATTTTAAAGTAGTTTACTAATTTAAAAATTATGTATTCTTATAACTATAATCTCTAACGTGAAGTGTTGGGCCGCGGGTATGCAGTGCCAGCAATCTGCCAGCCTGCCGGTGCAATCAAATCGCGTGCCGCTTCGCTTGTGCTATAAAGGGAGAAGAGCGTGCTACACTATCAGCGATTGCTTTTATTGTAGCGGTAAGCGCAATGATCCACAAGTGGTATCAGAGTCAAGGTCACAGGTTCGACCCCCCGGTAACAGCATGCTGCGTAGTTGAGGCTGACAGGTGCTGGGGGAGATTGTTGGGTCGCGGGTATGCGGTGCTAGCATTCTGTTAGCCTGTCGATGCAATTGAACTGCGTGGCGCTTCACTTGTGCTATAAAGGGAGATGTGCGTGTTACACTATCAGCGATTGCTTTTAGTGTAGCGGTAAGCGCAACGATCCACATGAAGTATTATACCTAATACTGACTAAAAATATATATATTTAAAGGATAATAATCTCTATGTATTATTATTAGAATTATAGCCACTTTTAAAGTTGGTAATGTAGTATAGCTATCATTATTATCTTTATGATTATTCTAAGTATTATTTTATTTATTTATTTATTTTATTTATTTATTTATTTTAATAAAATCCGGTTCTAAACCGGACCGGTGGTTCCGGAACCACCGCCTGACGGTTCCATTGCAAATTTTTGAAGAACCGAACTGGACTAGTGAACCTTTGGCTCCAAACCGAATGTACTATGCGGTTTCGGTCCCTGTTCAAAACCCGATAGTTCTGGATACGGTTCCGGTTGAATCGTAAACCGCGGACGGCTCTAGATAGAGGTAGTAATATACTACAATGTACTTCCTTAGTTCTTTTTTAATTGCAGCACTCCAATTCCACGTTTTCCAACACACAAGTTTGACCAATATATTTCATTCCTCATTAGTAAAAAAATTTAAAAAATTCGATTTTGAAAATTTAAAATGAAGGGAATTTAACATTACTTTTTAAATTTAATTAATAATACATGAATAAATAAAATAAAATCGGAGATCTGAATGGAGCAAAGAGTCAGAGGTTACATTTAGAAAAGAAAGGGAGGTAGTATATATATAGTACACACTCCTTAATCGGTATATATATCTTATACCGTAAAAGGCAGCTGGGTTGTACTTTGTATGTATAGGCAAAAATGTGGAACACCGCCGCTTGGCTATGGACAATACTCGTCTGCTTCCTTATTTGGTTGACTCATGAGAGCTCTGTAGAAGCTGCTGGTTCACCTGTCAAGTTTCTTCCTGGCTTTCATGGCCCTCTTCCATTTCAACTCCAAACAGGGTTAGATTCATGTTAATTCATTATATTTTCATTGTTCAATACTATATTTAATTTTCTTTGACTCTTTCGGGCAGATTTAGGAGAAGTATACAGATTATAAATACAGAGTATACAATAACATTGGTCAAATGGGAAGAATGAAATTTTTTATGCTAAAAAAATTAGATTGCACTTGCTTTTGCCCACTCAAACTATAGTGTAGATTCCTCCTCCACTATTTCCATGTTCATTTTGGGTTTGCTTATTATACTGTTTACCAGAAATTCTTGGTCTAAAAGGTGGAATCTCCCACCTCAGGAGCCCCCATACTCCGATCCGACAGGATTTTTGGGAGGATGTTAATCACGGTGACTCAGTCGGCCCAATGATGGTAAGCCTTTTTTCCGTGCGCACCAGAGGCCCAACCTTATTTCAGGTTCTGTGACCTCCACACGGTCGTTGCGGGTTTCGAACCTTGGTCACTTGGTCCAAATTTCCCACCACTAAACCAACTGAGCTACCCGCGCGGGTTGTTTACCAGAAATTCTAAATATGTTTTTAAATCCATCGTGATTATTTTACGAGAGGTAAAACTCACGAGTTGTGCAAAAATAGGAATAAGAGTTAAAAATTCCGCAAATAAAAGTATTTTCTTCCAAGACAAGAATTTCTTCCCTGTCATTACTATTGTCTGCCGCCGCCTGTTGTTACAGTACCGCTGGCCGCTGGAGTTCACCAGATTTGGTGCCGCCGCCGGCGGAGCACTGGTGAGGCAAAAAAAATCAGATTTTTTCTCAAATCTGCCTGCCGCCGTCATATATAGTCACTGGGGTTGTCTCCACCACCGCCATCACCACCGGACTTACCCGCCACCACCAGACTTGCCACTACCAATAGACTGCCCCGGTTACTCGAGGAAATTAGGGGACAATTAATTAATTAATTAGAATATGGATATTTGGGGTAGAAAAACAATGTTTAGGATGTAGTTACTTGGACTGAAATTTGCTAGTTTGATTTAGTTCGTTCTGAACTGGTCTAGTCTGATAAATATATGAACTCTGTGTATTTATAACTATTCAACTCTGGTCTGATCTTACCTGAACTGATCTAGTATGGTATGAGATTGAAAACATTCAAAATAAAAATATTCTTACTCCTATTTAGCGATGATTAGAAAGGTACTCCTATTTTGGGAAAAAGTTGTACATACTCCCTCTGCCTCATTCAAAGGTTCCCGTCCACTATTCACATGGTTAACTTAAATCATTCTTAATCTTTTGCTTTATATATCAAATTTTTATCAAATTTACAGTTTTTATCAGATTTTGTAGCGGTTTTAATGTAGTTTCTGAATATTTAAATTTTATTTACTAAAAATAATCAGAGTGTGAGCAGAGATTAAGTTACTTTATCGTCGATCAAACATCGTAAACCGTAATTGGAACCTTCTAATGGTACCGAGTGATTTTTAAGGGCAATTACTTTTATTTTACTATAGTAGCTTCTTGTCATAGTTATTACGGAGTATCATTGATCTTATTATAAAGTGACAATAACACAAATGAGACTCCCTTCGTCCCGGTCATTTCTTTGAACTTTCCTTTTTGAACCGTCCCAATTAATTCTTCCAACTTTCACTTTTGGAAAAAATATGTGGTTCACATTCATTCACCCTTTTTCTTACACAACTACAATCATACATTTTCACTTTATTCTCACTATCTAAATTTGCGAGCCAAGTCAAAATCGGAAGAAATGACCGGGACAGAGGGAGTACATATTTTTAAAATTACAGATACGGAGTATATTTTTACAGAAGTGATCTTAACATGAAGAGTTTATATTATTATTTTGTGTGAAAAGTTTATATTTATAGTCCTTAGGGGTGTTTGGATCTGATTCTTAAAACTGAAGCAGAAGTAGATGTTAGAATTTTTGGGTGAAAGTGCAGAAATATTTATGGTACTCTAATATACTCCTAGAAATAATTCCTTTAGAAGATGGGAAAGATCAACTTCTGAAAATTGATTCTGATTATTCTCTTGCTTCTTCTTAAAAAAACCACAATGAGATCCAAACACCATCTCACTCGTTAATGGTTTTAATTGTATGAGTTGAAATCGTTCACGGATATCATTGCAATACTCTGAAATGAAGGGTTATAAAAATGTCTTGCACAAAAAAAATGTACTCCGTAAAATATTACTCCTAGTAATTACCCAATTCAGCGAGCATCTCAACAGAGCATTTTGTACCCTGAAAATTTCTTTTACCGTTCCGATGTTAGCCTAAATTTTAATTATGGTACTTCTAATCAGCCAGCCTGGCCGACATAATTGTCAACTTGTCTGACCATGTCATTAAGTACGGAGTATGAATTACTTTCACCCACACAAATACACAATTAGGAATTTAGTTAGGAATTTAGGATCATGCTCCGTTTGACATTATCATTTTGCTCTTTTTGATACTCCGATCTATTTAATGTTTTCACTTTTTTTGAACGTTCTTTAAAAATTCATTTTTCTTATTTACCCGATAATAAATAAAATAGTCAAAACAGTGTCAAACAATGTTCAAAAAGTGTCAAACAATGTCACTTTCTTAAAATGTGTCCAATTTGAAGCGAACACATTAAATAGGGACAAAGGGAGTAATGAAATTGGATGAATTAGTCGATTTTGGTGAAATCGATGAAATTATGATTGAAATAGCTGAATTAGTTGAATATGTTGAATTATTAAAAAATATTTAAAATAAAGAAATATTATGTGATTAAATAGTTGAAATAATCCCTACAACAACTTCATCTAATTTAGCATAAAATAGTTGAAATGATCCCTACTTATTTCATATATGGAAATTTTACTAAATTTGTTCAAAGTACTTTCATAAAGAGGCGGATCAAGTACAAACAATGTTTTTTGTGCAAATATTTGTACATTGCATCTTTACGCTATTTTAATTCATATTAATGTTCAAAGTATTGCATTTTTTTAAGGAAAAGGAAATTTTATTAAAGAACAGCTTTTATTAAAGAGCAAAAGAGTGGACGATTGATGTCTTTTCTTCCTTATCTTTTTATATTCTTATGTTATTTTTATCTTCTAGTTTTTTATACTCTTTTATTTTTTATCTTTTATCTTTCTTATATTCTTGTGTTATTGTTATCTTGTGTTATTGGCTTTGGAAAGAGCAAAGTGGAGGCACATCCGTGTGGACGATGAATGTCTTTTCTTCCTTATCTTTTTATATTCTTATGCTATTTTTTTCTTCCTAGCTTTTTTATGCTCTTTTACTTTTTTTATCTTTTATCTTTCTTATATTCTTGTGTTATTGTTATCTTATATTTATTTATCTTTATTTTATTCATTTTATCTTACTTTTTTTTCTTCCCTTTCTTGTCCGTCTTATCCTTTTGGCATCGATATCATAGATCGGTTCACGTTAGCAGACTCCAAATTCTTTAGGGATTAAGACTTCAGTGTTGTTGTAACGAGCAAAAGAGTACAAGAGAACAAACGGGAAATGAAAAGGAAAAACAAAAGGGAGAATAAAAAGAAGAAAAAAGAGAGCCCAACTCCAAGTACAAGTAAAGCACGCCTGCACTAGAAAAAATGAGTTATTTTTTCACAAGCTATGAAAATTCCACATGTGATTGGGATCTGGATGTGATTGTTGGTGCTTTTTTCTGTATAATTTCATTTGAGTGTTAGAGATTTTGAGTGGGCCCACAATTCTCCTTTGCTAGCTGCTCTCCAGTTTCCGAATGAAATGACGGTGCACTATTTGCTAAACGCCACAGTCGAAAAAACCTGATCTACAAATCCTTTGTTCCAAATTTTAAAGGTGGAATCTCCCACCCCAGGAGCTCCCCACCCCGACCCGACAGGACGGTGGGGAGGTTAGTCACGGTGACTCAGTCAGCAGAATGACAGTAGGCCCATACACCCGTGCGCACCAGAGGCCCAACCTTATTTCAGGTTCTGTGACCTCCACTCGGTCGCTGCGGGGATTCGAACCTTGGTCCATTGTTCCAAATCTCCCACCACTCGACCAACTGAGCTACCCGTGCGGGTACCTGATCTACAAATCCTAGTATGATCTAGGTGTCGTCCGCATTTTTATGTAGATTTCTTTAATTTCTAAAAAAGAAGCGAGACAATTAATTTGATACAACCTGAAAAAGAAATTGTGACGATTATTTTGATACTAAAAGCTATTATAGTAAAGAAAAAAAATACGGAATAGCTAATGTTGTACAATTCAATTAATTTAGAAATTATGCTTAACTTGATATAACCCGAAAAAGAAATTGAGACAATTATTTTGATACTAAAAGGTGTTATGGTAAAGAAACAAATACGAAATAGCTAATGTTGTACAACTCGATTAATTTAGCAATTAATATTTCGTGAAATTCACAAGAATATTTTTTTTACTTTTATGGATTCTAGAATAATAATCTATACTTAGAGTGTCTACAAAAATATTTCATACTAGCAATAGTGTCTACAAGAGTAAATTGAAATTAAATGAATTCAAATTAATGCGCATTTACTACAATCAACCCTACCTCCACATTCTCATTCACCACTCTCCGTCTCAGTTGACACTTTTATGATCTAATCTAGAGAGAACCATATATGGTAGAAATGGTGTTAAAAAGAAGAGTGAGAAAGAAAAATGGAAGCAGAAGTTGAGAGTATTAAACGGACATTAATTTGAATTCACCTAAACTTGTTTTTATGAACACCATTGCTAGTTTGTAAAATTTTAATCAATTTCACCATTATATTTTGATAACTTTGCGTTTTCACCGTCAACCAAATAATGCATGAAACTGTTTAGCGTATGAAAAATTCAAACAAACTCCAAGTAAGTTGGCTTATAAGTGAATAGTTATTTATTACTAGCAGTGCGTCTTGATTCGTGTGTAATGAAATAATGACTATAATAAAGAGGTGATTAAATTAATGGCTATAATTTAGCATAAGTGTATCACTGATGGTCCCAACTCCCAAATCCCAATCTATGTTGCATTTGCGGCAACAGGGTCCACTCCAACACGTGGTGTGATTAATGCAAGTAATTTTATTTAAAAAAAGCACTTCCACACTTTTTTATCATTTACACACGTTTATCAAAACTTTTTTGTTTGTAAATACATTGTTTACATGCACAAACAAAAAAGTCTTCACAAATGTATATAAAAGTATGTAAACAATAATAGTGTGTACTAAGAATTGTTGTTTTATTTTGCACATAATCGGATAGATCATACTCTATATATTTTTTGAAAGGAAAAGACAAAGTATATTAAAATACCAAGTTATCAATGGAATCAAAAGTTAAAATCATCCAATAACTCGAAATACACCATCTATCTCCAAAATAATTCCATCTAAACTCAAGAAAAGCGTTACGACCAGACTATGAGACGGCTTCCTCCAAAGAAGCAACACAAACTACTGGACACCGAACGGTAACATAGAGTTCTTACTGACCTTTACAGTCACTTCACTAAACTCATAGTAGCCAAAGAGTCTGATTAGACAAAGAAAAGTTTATTCAACATTGAGAGAGACTTTCGCTAAACATATGAGAGCTTTGGAGCAATTAATAGTGGCCCTAAAAGTCTCAATAACTGTGATCATAGCCAAACTAGACATATCAAGACTGACAAACACAAACAACCCAAAAACAAGGTAAATAGTGTAAAGAAAAAATAATAAAACATGAAATTAATATAAAGCAAATAATTGCAGGTGGCACAATCTGAACTTCAAACTTCATCTTCCAAATCCTAGCCAGTTATTCACTCCATGGCGACAGTTCAAAAGGGGACGGACCATGAACACTTTATCTTCTTTCTCCATGACTAGACGATCGTAGGCTTGTTCAAAATCATCGAACTCGCGCTGCTTCCTATGTGTTCCGTTCTCTGCCATTCCTTCGCCCTTATGCTTAGCGTCTAGGTTCAAAATCTTTCTTAGACTAAGCCACAAATGAAAACGCTGTCACAAAGCAAACTCTAGCACGCGCAGTACTCGGTTACACCCTTCCGCCTTTTGATAACGATCACTGAGAAACTCTTTAGAAGAAAACACTGATACATAGTTAGATTGAGGAGAAGCAAACCGCTCCCAATGATGGCAGCTAGGGTCTCTCACAGTCCCTCTTGGATACATCATATACCAGAATTTAGAATATAATAATGGGTGTATGTAGAAGTAAAAATCATTCAAAATGTAAATAACCAATTTATTTAGGAAATAATATTTAATATGAGAAACTTGTTTCTATGAAGAGAAAAATATACAATGGGGCGGAGCTAGAGGCCTCGCCACGCCCCGGCCCACCCAAATTTTAAGTCTATATTATGTATGTAAAAAATTATTCAGAAAATTCTTTTTATCGGTCTTGTACATACATATGCTCTTGGCTACGCCCTTGAATGTACATGCATATTCTTAAATAGAAGTAATTTGGTCATATAAAGATAAAATACATATGCTTACTTTTGTTTTGAATCAGTACTCTTAGGGTGTGTTTGGGAGTTGAGTTTTGGAAGGGAGGGGAAGGTTAATGGGGGTTTATAACCCTCCTTTTTATGTTTAGGAGTTTAAAAAATTGGAGGGAATGGTTTTAGAGGGCTTTTGTAACCCTTCAAAACCCTTCAAATGATTTTAAGTTTAAGTTCCCCCAATTTGAATGGTTTTGGAGGATAATTAACAAGATGATAATTTAAGCTAAATTAAAAATGAATATCAACTCAATAATTTGAATTCGTCATAACTCAAAATGATTTTAATTATAATTTCTTCAAAAACCTTTTTGTTCCAATTTTATTACTCCCAAATACAAAGAAGGGCTTCCTCACCCTCCCTTTCCCTTCCAACAAACTGCCTCTAAAGTCTTCCTCTCCTCTTCCCTGCAAACACCCAAACATTCCCTCATGTGAGTCAATTTCTTTTTAGAAGAATATGTAATTAACAATGATATATATGTCAGGTACATTGGAGTAGGAAAGAATGAAGAAGTACAACTTTTCTACTATTTTATAAAGTCTGATTCAAACCCACTGGACGCTCCTCTGATTCTTTGGATTTCAGGAGGCCCCGGCTGCTCTCCGTTGCGCGCAATCGTTCAACAATTTGGTACTCTGTGTTTACCTTTCATTATTCTTCGTATATATTACCTCAGTCCATAAATAATTATCTCGTTTTCTTTCTTGAGATTTTTCAAAATAATTGGGTTGTTTCCTCTTTTGGCAACCGTATGTGACTCCTATGAATCTCTTTTTTTCCACTCAAATCTTAACCTTATTTTTTATCTTCTCAACTACTTTTTCAAAACTTGTGCTGAAGCAAACAAGACGATTATTTCGGGACGGAGGGACTATAATTTTTCTGGTGATCCCTCCAATACTTAGTGATAATATCAATCTTTATTAAGACTAGACTAGGGGGTCTTTGGATTTATTTCTAGGAACTGGTTCTGCTAGAGAGTAGAATCAGATATTAGATTGTTTGGATGAAAGCGCGCGCAGAAATACTTTTGAGTGCACTAAATTGCTCTTACAAGCAATTTTTAGAAGTTGAGGGAGACCAACTTCTGAAAAGCTGTTTCAGATACTGTTTTTAAAAAAGAAATAGAAGACGCCTTCACTTTTGAGGTTCTATTAGACCACAACACATTTGAAAAAGAAAAACTTTAAATAATTGACACTATTATTGTTCACCTAATAATCGTGGTTTCAGTAAAAAAAAAGAAAAACTACTAAAGCAGGGCTGTACCCATTTTTTATTAAAAAATCACATCTACGTTAAAATTTGCTACACTTTAATTTTAGACAATGAGAATAATAAATTAGATTTTATAATTGAACTGTTGTAGAAAACAATTTGGTAAATTAAAGCCTAAGAAATAACAAATTAAAGGAAAACTATTTGATAATATAAAAAGGTTTTTTTTTATCAAATTATTTGATGATAGAGAATTTAATAGGTACAAGTCCACAAATAACTTTTAAATAACTTATGTGTGATTTAATTGCATGGATCTTATTAAAATATATAATCAATTTTAAGTTACACTTTTTGTTCATAGGTAATTTTAAGTCACGAGATTTTTTTAATATTACAATAGTGCGTATGCGATTATTTAATCTATTTTTAGATATTATTATGTTGCTAATTCACATAGTTGTGCATATTATATTTTTATTAATGTTATAATATTTAATATTTTATTACTGGTGCAATAAATTCTTTTTTATAAAGTCAGATAAAAACGATTTCTATAATTCTCATGTACGTCAAACAAACATTTATATTTTGGACTCACTTCACAATATCTGAAAAATTGTATAACTAGTGTGTGTGTGATATTAAATATTGCTTATAGTTTACAAAATCGAGTACCAACTATCTAATAAATATGAATTTAACATTACAAAACTAGGATTCCTTTTTTATAGAACAAATATCGTAAGTTTAAAAACAATAAGAAATTAAGTAATTTTAGATTTTTTTCCTTTTGTGTCTCATGTTAAGTATTGTATTATGCAATACAATGATTAATTTTGAAAACTAAAATTTATGACGGGCGAACACATACATATATGTAATTAAAATATGAAAATGCTATGTATAATAAAATATTTTGAAAGTCTAAAGGGGTGGTCACTTCCCAACCTGTCCCTGCTAAATAATATAATGCATATTATAAATAATATAACTGTTTCATACTTCTATGACTCAAATATAAAAATAGTATATTGAATTGGGTCATTGAGACCATGACAAAACCCGACCTATAAAGACCCACCTTATTCTCAGATTCACCATGTCATTCTGCCTCAAAGAGTCTGTCACGCTCCAGACCGCATCTAAACGCGTGTACAACCGCTGTATGACCAAGTGTCATCACTCGCAAGTTAACGTGACTTAATCATACAAAGCGTCCATGAACATAATTCATCCATACTTAGTAGTAAACATACATAACAACATCACATTTAAACCAATGAATAACGGAAATATTCAACGGTAAAGCATGGGCCACAACTGACCAAAACATGGGATCACAGGCCCAAAATAGTTTATAGTGAATCAAATATCCGTGAGCAAGTGTTTGGTAGTTTGAAAGGAAATAAGGAAGCACGAACCACGTCTTCCTTGAATTGACTTCACCCGTAAGAAGGTGCAAGTAGCAAGCCCTAACTCCAACTTGAAAACGGTGGGCCCTCGAAGGGGTCAGTACAAGTACCGAGCGAGTAGCAAGCTAAATGTAGCATAACTAACGTTTCAAGTATAAGACCCAAATATAGGGTGATACATACACGTATAGTATTTTCCCTTAGTTATAAAATACATATGAGTATATAAATACACTTGGAAATACCCCGATCCGTAGGTCATTGTTTATTTGTGAAAATCATAGTAGTCAATATCCTTGACTTAAATTCCAACCCACCCATATCCTATGAGTGTATAAGACTTCTCCTGGTCCAAGTCAATTTATTCATACGAGTTTGAGGACAATACCGTCGTCCTTGGATTCTCTGCCATTTATACATATGAGTTTTGAGGACAGTACCGTCGTCCCTGGGTCTCCACCATTTATATACCGAGGTTTGAGGACAGTACCATCGTTCTTGGGTCTCCACCGTTTATACTTTTTGAGGTTTGAGGACAGTACCGTCGTCCCTGGGTCTCCACCATTTATACATTTGAGGTTTGAGGATAGTACCATCGTCCCTAGGTCTCCACCGTTTATATACCGAGTTTTGAGGACAATACCGTCGTCCTCGGGTCTCCACCGTTTATATATATCCATTCCTATGATCTACCACATATCATACATAGATAGGGTCTATATCATAATCATTTATCAAGACTAAACCAAGTCTCATAGCCTAAGCATAACAATCCATGCAACACCATGCACGAAAATCAACATTCGGGACAAAACAACACCAAACCGGCGCCAATTATAGCCCAAATCGGTCATAAGAGCTTGAATTACCACATGGTCATCTAGATGAGGTCCAAGAGCTTCTGATGATAACATTTCGAGACAGCAGCATATCGTGTCCTCGAGATGAGATGGGCCATGTAGGCAGATTATTATCTCCGAGGTTCCCCTGACCTTGCATTCCATGTTGCAAACGGTAAGCATGAGGAGGTCCAACATAGGGCAGACAATGTCCAGCACTTAGCAGTCCAGGCTGAGTAGTAGGCGGACAAAGTTGAATCTGCCTCGGAGATTCGGGGGGTTGTTGTGGTGCAGATATGAAAGCCCTGCCCAAGTTTAAATTGAAGTATATTCAGGTGGAGGCATCATCCCGAGATGTACGAGATTAGGTTGTTGCAACTATCAGTGTCTCTAGAGTCTTCAAAGCTTATCACTTCTAGGATCGAGACTTGACATGCGGAGCATATTCGAGTTTGACTGCAGAGCAAGGATATAAAAGCTCTGTCTGAGCATAAATCAAAGTATGACCAGCTGGAGGGGTTGTCATGTAGGATGTAGGCGATTAGGTAGTTGCAGACTTCAAGGCTTTCAAAGAGTTTTCAAAGCTTGCCACTTCTAGGATTGAGACTCGACATTCGGAGCATGTCCGAGCCTGGCTGTGGACCAAGGAGGGTCACAATTGCCACGACAAGAAGGTCCTAATCTCTTTCAAATGTGGGTGACATGATATGCAGACTACACTGCATGATAGGTTGACATATCATTTCCCTGTCTTTCATCTTGAGAAGCTTGGTTTGCACGAGATCATGTCTGAACCTGTTGAAGCGGAGAAGGTGGGCAATGAGGACGGCCTTGACACATGGTCTTCTTGACACTTTCTAGAGGTTCTTGATGATCTGGATGCAATCATACACACGACAATACCTTGAATTTTTTTCCATGATATCCCAAAGAAGATGGCTATGATCTTGAAGTTGTTCTTCATGATTGTTTTATCGTTTGAGCGTGTATGTACGCATCGTTCGCCCTTTCAATTTACTTAGTTGTTTTTTATTCAAAAATATTTGGAGAGCTAATCAGGGATCCAGCTCCACACCTAGGCCGTGAGGAGCGGAAGGTTGGCGGTCCAACCTTGACTGCACCCTGCATGGTAAGGCGGGGCTAACCCGCAATCTGTCGATCTAAGAACAAACGAGTGTACAAGCTGTTCGGCCAGTAATCAGACAACGGATGTACGAGAGGGGCTCAAGGCACGACCTCTCACATACCATCGAGATGAAGTCAGTCAGTAGTCTTACACCACCTTGCAACTAGTTTCATACTTAGGAAATATTGTGGTTCTTCCTTTTCTGAAAGTTGAGCTGAAGTCGGCCAAACATAAGGGCTATTAAGCCTAGTAAAATTATTTTAAGCATTATCAGACCATAACGGACCCGCACCAATGACCAGATCAAACAAGTATGCGGGTTGTTAAGCCTAGCAACGCCATACAATGGATGTACACGAGGTGCTTGAGACCCAACTACTCGTATTCCCTCAGCTCAAAGGCTAGGTAACGTCGGACAACAGATGTACGAAAGGGGCTTAAGGCTCGATCCCTCACATACCTTTTTGACCATAAGGTTGGTCCCACAGTTTCCCTGATCGATAAACTAATTTTGGACTTGGAAAGTAATTGATCATTTCTTTGCTCGAGGATCAAGTCGTGGTCAACTAAACACCGAAGGGGGGGGGGGGGGTGATAGTGTATTCTTTTTTAAGCCACCGCCCGTTCATTCCAAGTGAGGTTGGACCTCATTAAATTCTAGAATGAAAAACATTTTTTAGTAAGGAAAGAACTTGAGCCTTAGAGAACTTGGGAACTTGCTCTGCGTTGTACATTTGATCTACGAGCTTGCGATGCTCCACTCATAACATTTGAGAAGGTGCACTTCATTCCGAATTTGATCTTATGTTCCGATTTCTCGGGGCATGACCTGGATTTATTCGACTTCTGAGGTGATCATGGTTATTTTTTCTTTTTATACCCAGGGGGTTAGGGGGAGGGGTTTGGGAGAGCCTGGGGTAAATAGGGTTGAAACTCCCTCTATGAAGTCTAAACCTGAGACCTCCCGTATGAGAGAATGAGTCGGCAACCAGATGAGCTGAACCACTTCCTCTATATATTATATTGATTATGTTTGTATACTTATATATTTGTATGTTGTGTTTTTATCAATAATTACTACCTCCATCCCATATTGGTTGTCATGTTTTAATTTGACATGATTTTATTAATAAAGCGGTGGAAAAGTAAAAATTATGGTTGAGATTTGATTAGAATAAAGTGAAATGATAAGAACTACATATTTTTTGCCAAAAAAGGAAACAAGACATTTATTTTGGGACAACCCAAAACAAAAGTAGCACAATCAAAATGGGATGGAGGGAGTATAAATTATATTTGAATAATATTTTAGGAAAAATTCCAAATTTAACACCACATACATATGCAGGACCAATGCTTATTGAGCCCATCGAATATAATGGGAGCTTGCCGAAGTTACTACCATTTCCTTATTCATGGACAAAGGTGAATGAACGAATATAATAATAACTACGACATTTGTGCTTTTTGTACCAAAACAATAGTTAAACAATAACTTTGATTATATTCTATCATGTTATTGACTAATTAATGCTAGCTAGGTTGCTAGCTTTATTTTTTTAGATTTACCAGTTGGTACTGGATTTTCGTATGCAACAACATCAAATGGGTTCCATTCCGATGACTTGTTGACTTCTATCCATGGCTATGAATTTCTTCGAAAGGTTTGTTAGTTCTCCCAATAATTAATATCCAAAACCAATACTCCGAATTATTAATCTTTGAGGTTGCTCTACAATTTTTTCCCATGAGAATTTAAAATCAGTTATAAACAATTCTCTTAAGACCTAGAGTTCTATCCTAAACGCTTAACGGGAAGGGGAGCACGAATCTCAATATAGTATTTAATTGATTTAAAGATATTCGATGTGGGACAATAACACCCCTTCTCATGACCAGACACTTCGTCTGGATCGTGTTCGTCATTGTCAATTTTTTTTATAATTCTATCATTATTTTTTCATAGGGCTTTGATACCATGTTAAGACATGTGGTTCCATCCTAAAAGGTTAACATAATAGGAGGAGGGACACTGATCTTAATATAGTATTTAATTGTTTTAAAGATATCCGGTGTGGGACAATAACAAATTCTGAGAAACAATTACATATTTTAAGATGCACTTTTCGCAAACTTTAAGAGTAAAATAACATACTACCTATGTAGTAAATAGTGCAATAATGAGAAAAAATAGGAGACAGCTGATGAAAAGTAGAAAAAATAAGGAATTGATGAAGAGTTTAATAAAGCCTAAGTATGAATTATATAGTTATAAAATGTGTTCAATGAGTGCTCCATAAGTTAGTTGCATAATAAACAAGCTAATCAGTATGGTTACATTTTGATATCCTAGGGAGCTAGACTGTGAACTTAAAAATACCTAACATGTTGATATTAGTGAGTAGTTGGATGTTCTGAAGAATGCTCATGTATATAAGTAGCTTGGGAACAAGCTTGATGCTCATGTATATAAGTAGCTTGGGAACAAGCTTGATAGTCTAAAATGAAGACATTGAATATTCAATGTGTCTGAAAAGTAAAAACAGGGTATTAAAATTTAAGAAGTGACACCATATTAGCCCATATTCTTGACGTAGCTAGTTAGATATTTTACTCTAATTTGCGTAGAATATTTTATTTATGGTGACTTCTTTTATTTAGGAGATTCACTCCTTATTTTGTTTATTTAGGAGATTTCCTCCTAATAGTTAGCACATGTATTTAAGTCACCGAAGGAAACCCATTTATATAAGGGGGACCGATCGGCAACACATAAATAAGAAAATTCCTTCGTGATATTTTTCCTATCTTCTTCTTGCTTTGTTCCCTACGCATGTATGCGAATTTATCATGGTATCAGAGCTTCTTTAATCCATACTCACGGACATGTCGAAAGAAGGAGAAAAAAATTCATCCAGTGATACGCCAGGGAGATTGACCACGCCTCGCCGTTTTTCCAAGGTCCTCAAGATCGATCGGGTGATTTTATCACTCCGGTTCATCTCACTTGAACAAATTATGAAGACTGGTCCAGTGCTATACGGCTAGTTCTTCGAGCACGACGGAAATTTGGGTTCGTAGACGGGACTTTTGAGAAGCCAAAGCCACCATGCACTGAAGAAGATTGGCTTACAATCCATTCAATGCTCGTATCATGGTTGTTGAACACCATCTCCAACGAAGTGAAATGTATGTTATCTCGGTATAAAAACGCAACAAAATTATGGGGAGACCTGAAGGAGCGGTTTGCCTCGGCTGATGGACCACAGATTCACCAAGTTAAAACAGAGCTTGCGAGATTTGTCCAAACTAAGGGCATGGCAGTAGGGACCTACTACGCAAAACTCTAAGCCCTGTGGGACGATCTAAATAACTACGAACCCTTGATAGGGTGTACGTGCAGAAGATGCACATGTGACGTGTTGAAGCAACATGAAAAGAGAAGAGAATCAGAGCATTTTCATCAATTTTTGATGGGATTGTACATTGATTTCTTTGGCCCAACTCGTTCTCAGATCTAAACAGAGCATACCAATAGGTTATGCGGGAAGAAAGGGTGCGGGGTATTGTGTAGACACAGGATGAAAGACCACACATCCTAGGATTTGCTGTGTGGACCGAGAATAAAGGAGCAGGACTTGGGATGAAGACCGACAAATCTAGATTGATTTGTACGCATTGAAAATATTCAGGACATGAAATAACCAACTGTTTCGAGCTGAAGGGATATCCGGACTGGCGGGGTGATCGGCCGCGGGGTGGAATAAAAGGAGGCAGACAGAGTAGACCATCCAACACAGGAGCAGTACATAGCAGACCTCAGGCAAAGGCGTATGCTGCGGTTACTGAGAATGAAGCCAAACCTCTCGGCCCAAAGTCCGGTAACGCAGGAACTCCGCTGCTTGGGTTTACATTCGAACAATGGCAGACTCTGATGTCCGTCTTTGGTAACTCACCCACCTCCAATGACCGCATGGCAGGTAAGTACGATGATAGTGATTGAATAATTGATACCAGGCCACCAATCACGTTTGTGGCAATTTTGCAAATTTATGTCAAATAAAACCAATTGAACCCTAATTGCCTAGCGAAGAACATAGGCTACGCTTATAATATGAAGTCAAAAACCGATAAATTTTTGAGCCCAAGTAGAAAGTGTATTTTTTTGGGACATGCTTATGGCAAGAAGGGCTGGACAGTGTTTTATCTAGACACAAGAATATTTTGTATCCCGTGATGTAGAATTCTTTGAACACATATTTCCGTTTTTGGTGCTTCTGGTGCTGAGGCACAATTGTCGTCATCCACAGAAATTGTTGCCTTTGATTGAGATATAGAAACAACAGCTTCTGGACCTACCTTTACCACCTCTGCTGCTGAATTCACAACCTCGTCCAGTTTGCCTGGCAGTTTGGCAACTGAGCCGACAGATGGACCTCACCGTTCGACTACTGCACCAACAGGTAGTTCCTCTCACATTGCTCATATGCTAACCACGGAGGACCAACTGGTTGTCTTAGGACGTGGACACCGTCAACGAACACCTTATGTTCGTCTTCAAGATTATGTCACTCATACCCTCATAAAAAATAGTTCATTCCCCGTTCCTCCCGCTTCGTCACCTTCTTCAGGTATGTCGTTCCCTATAACTCACTATATTACTTGGTTTGTCGCCTGCATAAGTTTCTCTATGGACTTAAACAGGCCCCTCAGTGCTGGTTTACCAAATTGGTCACAGCTCTAAAAAGATATGGTTTCGCTCAGTCTTACGCCGATTATTCTTTATTTACTCTCACACGTGGCACCACTCAACTAAATATTTTGGTGTATGTTAATGATCTCCTCATCTCAGGAAATGATAGTGTGGCTATTGCTAGTTTTCAATCCTATCTTCATGAATGCTTTCATATGAAGGATCTGGGCACTCTTAATTATTTTCTCGGTATTGAAGTAGCCCGAAACAACTCTGGAATATTCCTTAATCAAAGGAATTATGCTATGGAAATTATTACGGAAACAGGTCTATTGGGTGCTAAACCCGCTTCTTTTCCCATCGAACAACATCATAACCTTGGGCGTGCTTCCGGGGAATACTACACTGATCCAGAACAATATTGTCGACTTGTGGGACGGCTCATTTACTTGGCCGTTACTCGGCCATATCTTACTTATTCCGTTCATATTTTATCTCAATTTATGCAGGCTCCTTGGGCAGCAACTCTTCGTGTTGTGCGCTACCTCAAAGGCTCACCGGGACAAGGAATTTTGCTTAGAGATGACAGTGACCTTACTCTCACAGGGTGGTGTGATTCAGAATGGGCCGTGTGCCCCTTACTCGTAGACCCCTATCAGGCTTGCTGGTGTTGCTAGGTCACTCTCCTGTCTCCTGGAAATCTAAAAAATAGTCCACCGTTGCTAGATCCTCAGCGGAGGCGGAATATCGATCAATTGCAGTAGCAACTTGCGAGCTCAAATGGCTTAAGGCTCTTCTTTTGAGTTTGGGTATTCATTATACTCAAGCTATTCCTCTTCACTACGATAGTCAGTCCGCACTCCATATTGCCAACAATCCTGTGTTCCATGAATGTACCAAACAGATTGAAGCTGACTGTCACTTTATTCGTGACGCTATAAAAGACAAAGGTATTGCCCCAAGCTATGTACGTACTACCATTCAATTAGCAGATATTTTCACCAAGGCGCTTGGGAAGTTTCAATTTCACACGTTGCTGAGCAAGTTGGGCATTCTAGACCCCCATGCTCCAACTTGAGGGGGGTATTAGCCCATATTTGTGACGTAGCTAGTTAGATATTTTACTCTAATTTGAATATAATATTTTATTTATGGTGACTCCTTTTATTTAGGAGATTCACTCCTTATTTTGTTTATTTAGGAGATTTCCTCCTAATAGTTAGCACATGTATTGAAGTCACCGAAGGAAACCCATTTATATAAGGGGGACCGATCGGCAACACCGAAATAAGAAAAATTGTTCGTGATATTTTTCCTCTTTTCTTCTTTTTTTGTTCCTTGCGCATGTACGTGAATTTATCACACCATAATTGTTCATGAGATAAAATGATAGTGCCTAAGAAATTTGCATCAAGAGAATGAAGAAATATGGGTCTGACTTACTCCTTTCGGCCTATAAAATTCTTCTCACCTACTTTTTTGGAATGTCCCAAGGAATTCTTCATATTTTTCGTTTTGGAAAGTTTTGTGTAGCTAACCTCCATTTACCTTTTTCTAATTACTAACCACAATCATACATTTTCACTTTATTCCTACTTTTTAAAACTTCGATCCATATGAAATCGGGAAGAATTTTATGTGACAGAGGGGACTATATGACAAAGATAAATACTACATCCTTCCCATTTTATGTGTTTTACTTTGATTTCACACAATTATTAATAAAGTGCTTCAAAGAGTAAAGTTATGGTAGAGATTTAAGTATAATAAAGTGAGACCATTATGTTTCTTTCCAAAAAAGCAAATGTGATATTTATTTTGAGACAAACCAAAAAGAAAAGTAGCACAATTAAAATGGGACGAAGGGAGCACCATTTACAAATTTACAAATATTCATTATAGCAATACCTTCTCGCCACAGAAGCTGAAAAATACAAATTTAAAAAAAAAATCTATATTTCATAAAAATAA